GCTCCACAGTTTTTGGTAGTTCTTTCGTCACCCAATATTACTTTAGGGTACAAGACGTCTGCTCTCAATTGAAAACTTTATTTCCAACACAGAAAGTTCATTCTCAATTCATTGACAGAACTTTTGTTCTTACACTGAAAACGCGTCGCCTTGAGAATAGCCCGTCAAAATTATAGTGACCTCCCATTTCCTTCTATCTTCATAGAAAGTAGAAGCTAAAAGAACATTCTAAGTTGTTTTAAAATTATTTGTTGCTTACTACGAATTTCTCACATCATCCTGATTGATGGTTTTTGTTTTGATTAACTTCAGATATTTCGTTTAGTTTAGATAAATTGAAATAATTAATGGCAATATCAGACACCTTTATAATTTAATTAGAATAAGAGACGTCCTGTTTTTAATTTGTGTAATGGAAATTAATTTCGTAAACTTCAATTAGTCCTATAAATCCCGCCAACGGAATATTCAAATATTAACAGTTGATATTATAAAATGTCATTTTCTTGATCTGCGTAATTTATCGTATCGCGGTATTCCTTTAAGAATTTTCACCAATCAAAACTTGTCTAACTCATTTTCAAAAGTTTATTGAAAATTTATTCAAACGACAGAGGTCTCAAAAAGTTGTGCATAACTTATCTTTTAGAACTCTGTCGAAGTGAATTACTGCTCGTTATGATGCGATGGCCGCCCTTTATTAGCTTTTGGAGATTATTAATGTAATTTCTTGCTTGAACTGATTTTTATTAAAAAAAAATTGATATTGGAATATATATTTTTTTTGAAATCTAATATGAAAAGGTAAGTGCATAAAAACTTCCCAGCTTCACTCATTTATATTTTAAATAAAAACTAATAACTATATAGCGCCTGCATTAAAATAATAAGCTACTTCGTTACGCCCAGTTTTTTTTTGCTATTTAATAATAATTAATAGTTGAAGATAATTGCTAATGCCAAAATAAGATATTTTAAGCAAGTAAGCATTGGGGGTTAAAAATCAATTACGCCTACGCAATACAAGTCTGTCCCTGACTAAAATTTATATCACTCTACCGACTCGATCCTAAAAATAATTATTTTCTGTTTATTATAAACTTAGTAAGCGTTGATAAGTTCTTTGTATATTTTAGGAAGAGTAGTATCTGAAATAACAATTTCAGTCAAAAAATACTTTCTAAGGAAAGCAACATTTATCCAGAAATATATGTTGTATTATGTCTAACATAAAATGTTATTAAAACTATGTATCTTCTTTTAAAAGGTGCTGAAGTTTCATAATCTCTTCAGGTTTCTATAATTAAAAAATAAAGATAGACATGTGTCATATATGTATGTACCAGGTTTTTTTAACATATTACTTTAAATAAAATCTTAAATCCGCTGTTTAAAAAATAGTTTAATGCAATTAATTCTCTACAAATAAAAACAACATTCTTCAACTACGTATTTCATTTGGCTTGTTCGTTTTTATGTCAAGTATATCAAGTATGTTTGTTTTAGAGTCGGTTACGTTTAAGTACAGCGTAGTTTAAAACGTAGAGTTATATAATTAGCCTCTCTTAATATGCTTATTTGAATTGTAATTATAACGTTGATAATATTTCATATAAAAAGATAAGCCATAATATGTAATATAAAAAATATAAAGGAGGAAGAAAGATAATGAAAATTATTATACAAATGGGATAATGAAGTTGGATATTAAATAATTTTCGTATAATGAAATAGGAAAGGAATTATCGAATATCTTCTTCTACTGTAGTTATATATTGATGTATAATGTAAATGTTATTGGCCTTCCTTTGTTCAATATAATCCTAATTAAGGTCCACAATTCAAGTGTGTATTGATCTCCAGGGGAACATTCTGGATGTCTGCAATACGTTTTACGAGTTTCATACTTAAAAAGTATTATCAACATTTAAAAGATAGTTAAATCGACTTAATTCACAATTGCTTTGTTATTTTTACACCTAATCAAATTAACTATATACCATTCACATGCAAGTAATGAAATTATTTAAAGTAATAAGCGAATAAAAATATTTAAGACAAAAAAATTAAGACAAAATACAGGCAATATGTAAAATCGTTTTAAATTGATTTTATATTTATAATAACTAGTTTAAAGTAAAGTTAATATATAGAAGAAATTGTTGCCTTAGGATAGCTTACTAGTAGAATTTAAATGGAAGGTAATTTAAAGAAATAGGAGAAGCCCTGTTAAAAATTTGTTGGCTGTGAATGGCAGCATTGGCATTTAATGGATTCCTGCCACTTTAACCAAGTCGTTTTACCTTTTGGCGGTGTAATTGCAAGTTGCATATTTCTCTAGAAACGCCTACGTTATTTAACATGTTTTATATAATTGATGGACTATATTACCTGTAACATTAAATTAACTACCAAATTTTGGATATCATTAAATAATTTAACTACAAATTAAGTAACATAAATATATGATAAATAGCAATTCGAAGTAGATTATCCAACAAAAATGATCTTGACACTTCTGAGGAAATCCTTATTCAATTCATAAAAGGGAAGTCTAAGAGAATCCCACATTCAAAGGGAGTGTTCAAACTTTGATTATTCCTAGTAGTTCTAAATTGATAAATTTCATTTATATTAAATTAAATACTTTATTTTTTAATGTTATGTTAATAAGATTATGAGTGGATGACCTACTGAAAATCAGAATACACGTGTATCAGATAATAAGTTTCATTAATATAATAAATATAAATATTATTTCAGGAGGTTTATGAAATTCGCTTCTGTACAATATTCACTGAATAACAAATTAGTATAAAAGAATTGAAGCTTACTGTGGCTCGTACATATATTATCCGATCAATTGTATTATGTTACATCTTCCTGATGGCTTTGAGTACGATTGTCCCGGATAGTCGGTTCAATACTCTCAGTCAATATTTGTACAAGCCCGCAAATAGCGCCGGCGAAATTAAAACGATTTTCTTATACTTACCTATTAATGTTGAATAGAATCTAAACCTTGTAGGAAACTATTTGTTTAAGCAATAAATTGATTAAAGTAATTTAGGTGATTTCAATGCCTTTAATCATTATCAAGTGCAGTTTTTAAGGAAAAAACATATTTTTTTATTCCCTCCCTATAACCAAGTCCTTTTGTGTTTTAGTTTAAAGGTCTGGGTGTGAACATTAATAAAGTACCATTACAATGTTCCTTTTATGACGTTAAGCATCTATTTATCCGACTGAGAGGTAATATTTTTATGTACTCGCATGCTTTGTTATTATATGACATATCCTCTCACTCCCAGTGGGAAGTGAATGAATTGGAAACAATTTCTTCTGAAGCTTTCGGAAATAAATTGTTGTTTGTGGATCATTCAGCAAGGCTTAAATGTAATATAAAAGAAACATAATTAATCGTTGGATTATTTTCGAATGTTTATTTTAATGAATGATAGAAACAAATGTAACAGATACGATACTTCGGTCTTTAAGTACTTTAAATTAATTTTACGTCATTTTTTTGAGATGGATCTAAATAAGTTTTTATTTTAACCTATATAATTAGTTTTAATAATTGAATGTGTTTATACATGTGCCCATGTTATTTTATTATGTGAAAAGTTAAGACGAAAATTATATTTTTAAATAGTTTTTATAACTTTACTCATTAGAATCAGTATTTTTTTTAATTATTTCCTTTAAGATACATCATTACCGCAAAAAAAAATTAAAAACATAACTGATTTAATAGAAATCTCTTATGTATAAAATAAAAACAGTATCACAATTTTGTCTTTAAATTGACAAGAATTTTCTGTTTTTTTACAATTTGATTATTATAGTGAGAACTCAATTTTGACACCTAATATTTCACATACAGGAAAAATAACAATAGTAATAACAACTAAGATTTATGACTTCCACCTCACTTGTTTCCACTCTGTATTATTTTCCTTTGGCCATTGATTCTACTGACTTATTTAATTTATTATAAGAAAAAGTTGCCTGTTAAGCTTTAAGGACAAAAGAATTATGTGAGATAGTGGATTTATATGTAAATATAAACCTCATTTTCCTTTATACACAGGTACATAATAAAACAAAAGATAAGCCATATTAGATTTATTAAAAAAATCTTGACGTGTACAAAAACATTAATTAAAAATATACCTTCAGGGTTTAATTATTAGAATTCAGGATATAATAATCTTATTATAATTTGTTAAAAAAGGCTTTATGGCTCTGAAACACCGGGTCCCATCATTTGATATTCTTAATTAAGATGTGTATATTTCAGGGATTTTGGAACGGTAATTAATAATACCTATATAATTAATGCATAAAAAATACGGATTTAGATCGTAAATTTATTTATTATGATGAAAAGATAGGAATATAAAAATATATAATTTTCTTCCTACCATTTAAATTAACGTAAGATTTTATTTATCGCCCAGTGCTAGCTTTTTATTTCATTCTAAGTTACTTACATGGTTGCCTAGCAACTTTAACTTAACGGTACACAAACAAGCGGACACATACACATATGTATGTATGTGTATATACCTATATATATAAAAGAATCAAATTTACATATTAAGTAAATTACAGCCCAGTTAATAGCTATATGAAAATGCAAAGAAAATGTATCAAAGAGGTGTCAATCTTGTTAATAGCACAATTACAGGAAAAATACACATGTTTTTTCCCACAACATTTTGTAATTTTTTATACTGAGATCATATTAGGGTGGTACAGGCATGAACAATCTAAATTTCAATTATTAAAGTAATTTTATAAATTAGATGTTCAATCTGCAGTTAGTATTGAAAAAAAAAAGTGACATTATTTTACAAAAATTAAAGATAGTTTGATAAATAGTAGAAATAAATTTTTGTTCCGCTATCATTTCACTTTTTCTTTCACGTGTACCATGTAGGTATTTTAAATAGCCACCACTATCATTCTTATAAATCACTCGCTAGGTTTTCAGCATGGATGAAACATTTCAAGTATTTGATAGAGTTCTATCTTTCGCAGGAATATCTCTTTTCGCAAAACGAAACTGGAATTCTAAAAAATGGCTCTTCTTCCAATGTTTCAGCGTTATCATCGGCTTTATTACTTTCATCTTCACAACAGCATTTGTTCTTACTAATATATCGAACTTATTGCTTTGTATTCAAGGAGGTTGTGTTTGGACAACGGGAGTCATTATGTTCATTTCTCTCTGTATTTGCCTAATTTTCAGAACAAAATTCAGAACTTTTTTGGAAGAAATGGTATTTGAAGACCGAGTTTTTGATATACCTTTGGTAAAAAGCGTATTTATTCAGAATCCAGGTCATGGAAAATTATTTGAATTGGAGAAACTGGTTGTAAATTCACAGGAGAAATTGTTTAAGCTTACGAGGGTATTGTTAAAAACTTATGTTGGAAGCGTGTGGTTATGCGTTACTTTATACTTGTGCGGTCCCATATATCAAATGTGTGTTACGAAGGACAAGTCTCTCAGACTATTAGGTAAGTTATATATGAAATATTTTGGACTTTGAAAACTAATTTAATATGAGTTTGTTAAGAAAGTTTCTATGTCTGAAGTTTCTATTGCCTACCTTTGGGACGAATAATTAAATCAGCTACTGAACCATTCTGGAAAGAATGTATATGTATTAAGATTATAAATGTAGTAATTTTATAACGATAATGGAATATTGAATATAGCTTACAACTTTAATGCCGTCCGAACACACTATAGGGTAAACATTTGTTAGAACATGCGCTTAGCTTTTGTTTAAATTTCCGCTTTATATCAGTGTTCGACATGAGGTTTCCTCCCAGATAACTTTGCCCACACAGCTCTTCCCACTGTTCTTCTAGCATATAAATTATAAAGAAAATTGTATGTTTATAATTTGAGTAATTTATGGCAATTCATGGCATATATATGTGTGTATTATTTCAAGTAAAGTCTGTTTTTGGATCTGGTAAAAATATTAAAGCTTACAACTTATTATTTTTCCCATTTTGCCATATAATCTTTTAAAAATATATTTTTTTTATGGGAAAATATTCAAATATTTCCTGTACATTAAATCACAATGAACAAAAAAACATCAAGGAAAAATTAATCATGAGAAGGAGAGTTTTTTTTAATATAAAAGATAAATTTATAGGCTTTATTAAAAAAAGAGTAATTTTTCTGATTTTTGAAATCCACTACACAACAATAATAACTGACATAATACTGTTTGAGGAAAACCACGCAAAAGAAAGTCGTTCCACATCCTGCACGTTCTCTCAAAGAGATGTTTCGAAACACGTACAATCTCACAATAAAAACAAAACATCAAAGTGATGTTGGATATATCAATTTCAAGAAAGATAAACAAAAATCGTGATTTATAACGTTTAACAAATTATGTAAAAGTATTAAATGGAAGTCACTCAAAATAACCTAATTGATTTACTAAATTTAATTTTGGATTTCAGCTTTTGATATGTGGTTCCCTTATGGATTGGAAGACTTCAGAGTGTATGTGGCAACATTTATTTTTCATGCGTATGCAGGTTATTTATGTTGTATTGGTAAGAATGCTATTACGTATTTCACATTTTGCAGAAGACTACCTACATAAAAACCTCTTTGTAATGATATTTCAGCTTACCCTGGCCTTCAGTCTACAATAATACTTTTCGTAGGTCAAATTATTAGACAACTTCAAATACTCACTTTCATATTGAATAATTTAGATGAAATAGCCAAAGAACTGGTCGGGCAAAGAGGTGAACTGTGGCAAGAAGTCTGCATACAAATATTTTCACAGTGTGTAGATCACTATATACAGACTAAAAGGTACTTATTTTCAATATTTTTCCAAACAAATTTCTTAATAATTGGGAGGAAATTGTGGAAATGGGTAGGTAATTAAAAAGTAGATGTTAATAATATATACAGAAAGAGGTAAATTTATTATTTTTCTACCTTACTTGCAGTTGAGCTTCGTTAGCGTGGAATTTTCATTATTCCTGTCTTACAAACGACTAAACTTACTTTTCTTATTGTTCTCATTTATTACCAGAATAAGTTAAAGTTTCACTATCCTTTAAATTCCTTTGTAATTTAAACCAAGTTCTGATGTTAGTGAAAAATATTAAAATCACTAATTAAAATAACTGGAAAATAGGGTGGTCAGCATACTAATATTTTTTTCTAATTAATAAATATATCTTATTTACATAACTTTTTATTTATTTAAGATTCTCTAACAAATTGAATGTGATATGTCAACCATTTTACTTAGCTCTGATAGTAGTGGCGACAATGCTCGTATGTGTCTGCTCTGTGAAAATTGCGATTTCGGTTTGTAAACCATTTTTAAGTTTTTATTAAATTTAAAATATAAGTTCGGTTGCTTTTGAAAATTAACCATATTTTTTTAGGATAAACTTTCACCAGATACAATGAAGTATTATGTACATGAGCTTTGTTTTATACTGGTGGTGCTTATGTTTTGTTCTCTGGGACAGAAAGTTGACAATGAGGTATACTAAATATAAATGTGCCTTGATAAACTTCTAAAATTTTGATAAGTAACTGACAGTTTCTAGTATCTTGTCAATTATTATCTTTTAGTCTAATAGAGGGTTTTTTTGGCCTCCCGATATCCATGAAGATAGCATACAATTATCTCTGTTTTATCTATCTCTCTAGTTATGTTTGACCAGTAGGCATAACAAATTATACTTTTTTATGCCATCTTGGTCAATGCAATAACTTTTTTATAAAGGCAATCCCTCATTCGCATATAAATGAAGTAAAAACTATTTTATAATTAATTTGGTATATTTGTACTTAAAATTGTATTGCCTGTATTGAATATTATGTTAAATTTTCTAGTGTGAAAAACTGGAATCAGTGGTGACTGAAAAATGGTACTTATTTAATTCAAATCACAAAACCAACATACGAATTTTCATGATGGCGCTGAGTCAAAAGATGCCTATTTATATATATGGATCTATAACACTTTCTTTACAAACATTCACATGGGTAAGACTAATTTAAATTTCATAGTTTTTCAATTTCTTATATTGTCAAAAGAGACAAAAAATATAAATAAAAGAGATACGTACAAAATTAATAAATTCACTAAATTTTTAATAAAATAATAATATACAGAAAAATTTATTTTAAAAATCTATTTTAAACTTTGTTGCAGTTTATCCGCACTGGGATGTCATTCTTTACATTTCTGATGTCAGTGTTAGAAGATTAATTTATGTAGTCGAGTCTGGCGGCGGTATTGTAGAAATTACGTAGAATAAACTAAAGAAATAAAAACTATTATTTTAATTTCATTACAATTTCATGATATGATTATAATTTTATACTAACAACCTCATTAAATATAACTTAGTCAAACTGGATCGTTCTTTAACTTCGTTTATGCTTCTAAATTCAAATTTCATATTACATTTTCTGTCTAATCTGGTAGGTAACGATTCTAAAATTATAATAAGAATAAGTTGAAAGTAGAATTCAAATACGAGTAACGTAACGTTGCATTAAGATCTCTAAAAGATTTTCGACTAAATAATTGCTACTCTGTTATAAATGCAATATGTGTACACAATCGGTAAATAGTTCATTCCGTGTTTCTTTTTTAAATAAATGTTGGAGGGAATTTAAATATAGACATCCACTTTTCTGATTTCTTTAACAAAAGTTGTAATACCTATGTTTACTACATTCATTGTGGAAAAGAAACATTCTTTACTTAAATTCATTATTGTAATAGTAATTTTTGTAGAATGTTTTAATGCGAAGAACTCATAGACGTATAATTTATAATGTTCTTTAAATTTTATAACCAGTAACTCCACTTTAGTTGAATGAATCAAAAGCTTATGACCTCATGAGAGAAGAGATTTGAAATCTCTTGATTGAAAGACGTTTTTAATAAAAATGTCATATGAATTTTGCCAGACACTAATTAATTATTTTGTTTCTGATCCCAAAATTAATAAACATTACCGTTAACCATATATGAATAGATAAGTTGATAGATACGATACCATCAGTGTGTATTGGAAGATATAAAATCCGTCCACTGATGAACATAGGTTTCTTCTTTAGTATTAAGTGATTTCCGTTTTCTCATACGTTTGACCATCCTCCTTATCAATACCTAGATATTGAGGGTTTTACAATTATTTTCAGCAGCCGTCACTTTAAGAGCACATGTGACCTGGTCCACCTCAATTTTTTAATCCGTTGAGCTATGTCACTTGCCTTAATTCTCTGGCGAATTATTGCATTTCCTATTCAATCCCCTACAAAACTCCAATCACATTGTACTTTTAACTTGGTGGCTTGAATCCTGTGAACAAGTCGCACTGGCAGTGTAACTTCGTTTTAACTTCGTTTATTAGAACAGGTTGCATGCACTGATTGAAAACTTTATGGTAAGCATGATAAAAAAGCCGGATGACGAGGATGAAACCATTTATGGTGATCAAATTCAGGTCAATGTCGTCGTTGATAATGATTTTGAGTTTATCCAAATTTATTGAGAAACCGATTATCCGTAACAGAGGAGCTAAACTATGTTGCATCTGTTGTAGCTGACGAAATTCTGTACATTATATTATGACGATATAGCTATTATGACGATAGTGTTTGCAAAATTGTGTTCTAATCATATCGATACCAAAACATATGGCTGTCCAGCATGGGTCCACTGCTGATCAAGTTCAGTAAAGTGATGTCTCCTTGTTGCATTTCGGGGAACAGAGGGACAAACTGCATTACAAAGAGTCCAGAATAATCAAGATTCTAGAGAGTGGATGGCTTTTTAGTCGTGGGAGACATAGAGATAGCACAGTCTGCATAATCTACTTTACGGTATGGGTATGATCTGAGTGGTACAAAACACCTCAGAAATCAGTCTTCGTTCGTGCTAACCCATAAAAATGTTATAAATGGTATAGAATTGATATGCTTCGATACATTTTTAATAAAGTACACTAAATCATCTTATTGAAAAATAAGGTAATTAACCTACCATTCTTTTACCTGTATCTGGAGCTCCTTTCAATCAAGATTTCTTCCCGCCTTCAGGAGCTTAGTTGTGATACCGTTCACTGTAAGTTTTATTTCATTTCCAGGTTGTGTAAGAGCTGATTCGAAATTTCGTCTAAACTGATCCCATGCAGATCTTCTAGGAGGAGGAGTTTAATGGTCGCTCTAGAATGAAAGATAGCTCTAGTTAGGTCAGTAAGACCCTTAACCCTTTGGTTACTTTCGAGGAGCGTAATTGGCTGAAAAGATCCCAAACTTTTGAAAAAATCTTCAGTCTAGACAAGACAATCATTCTGGCTTGTATAGTAGACCCTTACCAGTAGACTTCGTCCGAGTAGCTGAATAAACATTTTTCACACCAGGTTCTGTTATATATGTAGCTTTATCTATCTGTTGAATGTTGTAATAGCCACATTTTTAACAGGGATAGATATTAAGATTGGTCTATCGTAAGATCTAATTATTAGGTATGCCAACCTTGACGACACTGTATGATTCTAAAACCCCACTAGGTAATAATTTATCATCCAGAAAATTTACAATATACCAAAATATTTTACCTTCTTATACGTAGGCAAGTTCAATTATTGTGTTTGTTGTTTGCGACTTTCCGTATTCTAAGGATTTATTACCGGAACCATGACTAGTACTATTGTCTCAACGTCTTAATTGATTATTCTTGTAACAACGTTTTGTTACAGAGATAGTAAATTAAGTCATTATCAACCACGGGTCAAGTAACAATTTAAAATCAGTGGAATGATATTATATTTATGAGAACTATAAATTTTTAAAGCATCTTCATATATCTTAAGCATCTTCATAATTTACAAGTATTTTCAATTCTATCGAATGATGTAGATAATTAAAGTTGATCGACGATTAAATGTGATGAGCTCATTCGTTTTTTGCAACTTGCTTTACTTCGGGCTACCTTAAACGGTCTTCGGTTTCTAGAATTAAGTTAATGGAATCGAGACGTTTGAAAAGAATTATTGTTTGCAAAAAGTAATTTTCGCAAAATGTGTGGATAGGTTATTTGGCCTATTATTAATAATTTAAAGACCTCAAGTTTTTTTATGTTAAAGATGCCAACGAGCAGACGGCCTACTTGGTGGGCAGTAGCTAGTCCATAGACATCCGCAACAGAGATTCGTTGTGAATCTTATTTTTTTTTTGGAATAGGAAAGGGTGGGAATAAGGGAATATTATTAAATGGTGGGTATTTATATTAAAAGCTACTTCACATCAATCTTCTATGAGAGAGTGGTACTTCCTCTGTCGAACCAGCCTATGTTCGATCTGTAGTTACATGACTACAGCTAGGCTCTACCACCTACAAAACAACATACATTGACATATACATTTTAATGACTCGATAAAGAAGTCTTATTATAGGTTAAATATATGAAAGGTAAAATGATTAGACTTACAAATCTATTAATTTTAAGCTGGCTTTAATTATTTATTATATAATTTTCAGATAGTAAAACATTAATATGTACATTATCATTGAAACATTGCTTTCAGAACTGTTTCAATATAATTCTGTAAAACAGACTGCGAATTCGTGTATAAGCTTTTAATTGATAAACATGTTTTTAATTAAGTGATGATTTTTAATTATCTTTTAAAGTCATGTTAACAATCAAATTATCCTACTGATTATTCTGAAAGTCATTTATTAATAATATGAATTAAAAACTGTGGATTTTAAATGTTCATGAATAAAATCGAAAATATTCATGAACAATTGCACCAATTATACAAACGATATTTTATTGAAATCACAAACAAGTGTTATCAACGGAGTTTTTTTAAAATTACTGGTAATGTAAGACAAATACCGCGAACCATTTGCACGAATGAGTGAGAATATAAATTTCATGCGGTCAGGTGGTGCAAGTCAAGCTAACTCGAGATCTGCCAAGCTCCTTCAACTGTAATTTTATATGCGATTATGGTGGAAGTCATTTTAGACAATGTTTACCGTTTAATTTTTAAAATAAAAATGTGTTAATATGCATGTAAATATATAGATTATAGAAAATAAAATTTAATAATTATATTTACTGTTATACTGAAGAAAAAAATGTTTTTATATTACTATATATATATACCTAATTAGTTTACTAGATACTCTTTCTCTCTGATTTGTCAATTGATTTTACGTACATAACATCAAAAGTAGGAAGAAACAGGGAATTATTCAATATTTACTAATCGTATAAAAATTTCAATTCACGGAAATAACAGTATGTATACAAGATTAAATTGTAATAAATACATCATGGAATATAAATCATTCTATATAGACAAACTAGCTTTTGTCGCGACTACGTCCGCGTGGAATAGTGACTTTCGGCAGATTTTTGGTTCTTCCCACATAGTTCCCGTTCTTGCGGGGTTTTCGGAATGGTCGAGTTCCCGTAGAATTTTCAGGATAAAACCTATGTTTTTTTTTTAATTCACAATGAAGAACTCTTAACCAACAACATATTTATTTGTTTATTTGAATAAAGATTAATATTATTATCTTGATACAACTTTAACAAATTATATCGACCGAATTAGGTACCATAAAAACGGTTTTTGTGAGTTAATCTTAAAAGATAGACATACTGTCGCGGACTGTTTTTTAGATCATTAAAAGAGCTATTATTCTTTAATACATATTTTTTGTGTATCTTGAACCGTTTTCACGGCGCACGTAACGGAAGGTTTCAAAGATGAAATAATTTCTCCCGTTTTTTACACATTTACCACTATATCTTTGCTCCTATTGGTCGTAGCGTGATGTTATATAGCCCACAGCCTTCCTCGATAACTGGACTATCTAACACAAAAAGAATTATTCAATTCGAACCAGTAGTTTCGGAGATTAGCGCTTTCAAACAAACAAACAAACAAACAAACTCTTCAGCTTTATAATATTAGTATAGATTACGTGATTATGCTTTCTATATCAACTTTTCATAGGAAAAACAATAACAAGAATACCTAGTTGTATGAACGAAATGAAGAAAGATTACTTAATACACAAATACTTTGTGAAAATCCTATAAATATATTCAACATTGCTATAAATGGTAGAATTTATTGTAAAAATAGTTTTCATAAATTAGTAAACCAACTATTTTTGAACCAGCATTTTATTAACGTTTATCACTAGATACTAATTACACCATTTACTAG